AGGCGAATATTTTGTGAAATTTGGCGTCAAGAAGCAAGATTTTCTTCATTTATTGTGAGGAAAATTTCGAAAATTTCCCCTGCAGCGCTGTCAAAGGAAGAAATTGCTTCGCGGCCTTCCAAAATTTTTGACTGTGTTTTGAACTATACAAAATTTCGACTGTTATCTTTGTCCCACCCTTAACACAAATATACATTTAATTCATCCAAATCCCCTTACATTACTTTAGCATCATCTAAATAACGGAAATATTCATTTTGACGTTTTCGATGCAATAATTACAAATTCTGACAGTATGCGCCATTTTTTATGTAAAAATGATATTAAACAAATAAAATATTATTTAAATGGATTAATGTATGCAGACAATCTAATTCTTCTAGAGAAAAGACATCCAGAAGTTCTAAAAATAGGTATTTTTGTATTGGGAAGGAATCCCGTCCTGAGGATTAATCCCACGGGATCTTTTTTGAAAAGAAACCCGTTAAATAATCCCAGAAACCTAGGTTATCTTAGAATAGGTTAAACTAACTGTGCTGCCATCCAACCCTATTATTCTGAATTTTATTTCTATTCTATCTTCAAACATAATGTTCTTAAATTGGAATAACTAAATCAAATGCCTTCGCCTTAAGAGAATGGCACTTGTTTAAAGTTGTACAGAGTTTTACTGAACTACTATAAAAGAAAGAGATTTATACCCGGATTACACATCAATTTGTCAATTTTTCTTTTAAATTAAGATCAAATATTCACACAAATGCGGTTGAGTTATTATACTGCTTACTTAATACATCCAATTTATTCTGCCAAATCGACTAGCGCAAGATTCATATTATTCGGGTCTTTATTGTATGGAAAAGTTAAAGATAGTTTTGAGGAAATTAAAAAGGTATCGGGCAATGGAAAAAAGGTAGAAGATTTTTAAAAACTTAAATATAGTAAATTTTGATTGAATCCCTCCCCGCATTTCAATTGAACTTCATAGTTGATTTATATAATTTTTGAAATTTAAAACAAATAACCTAGTGCCACAACCTCTGTAAGAATTGAAAACGGCTTAAGCCTACTCGCCCATTAACTTTTAGGATCAACTAAAATACCAGAAAACCATGTCGACGCAGAAGATCCTTAGATAGAAGACCCAAAGAATACCCACAGACAAGGCACCCTCCCATTGTTGTTCCAAAATGGGATTCCAATAGCGGGGAAAGTTGTTCCAATAATCAGGAATTTTGTTCCGATAATTGTAAGGTTGTTCCATCGAAGAGTAATCTTGTTCCAATGACAAATTATAAGGTACATTTCTACTAAAAATGAGTTTTTACTGTATTAAAATAAGAAATAATTTAAATTTATAGTTAATTCCCGACAATACTTCAAAGCTTGAGGTATTTTCTAATCGTTTAAAATGGCTCAAATCTCAACTTTTTGCCAACGACACTTCATTTTATACTTCAAAAAGTTTATGTTTAATGGTTAATTTCGTTCAATTGGCAACACCAGAAAAATTTCAGGAAGCATGTGAAAGAATAGGACAAAAAAACAGAATATTTGATTTGAACGAAGTAAAGGAATGGGAAGGAAAGGAATGCGAAAATATTGAAGATAATTTACTGCGGAAGAGATCATTATTCATGCAATCAGTAAAAAATTAAAATTATTTGTACCGAGCTAATTTTAGTAGATACCGTATTTTCTCGATTAATTCCCCTGGGGAATTATTTTTTCAATACTTCCTTGGCATGAGGAATTAATCGAGTTTTGGCATTTGAACGTGAAGTAGTGTATTTGGGACTGGGGAATTATTGTTTCAACCCAACTCTAGCATGGGGAATTAATCGAGATGGAGAATTATTCGAGGGAGGGGAAAAAAGGTCAAAAATCGAAACTAAAAAATCGAAATTACGGTGAAGCCTTGCATAAGCATTTGAATCATTTTATTTAGATAGAGGAAATATTTTTAAATTTATTTTAGGTACTTCTTGAGGAAGAACATTACAATTTTATTGAAAATAATATTGTAGATAAACATTTTATTATGGATCATGTCGAAAGAAGAGCCCGACTTAACAAACTTTTTGTTGATGGAAAGTACAAATATTTCACCGAAAATATTAAGTTTTTAATATTAAAAATTGAAAAGAAAAATAAAAAATTTATATTAGGGTTGCCCCCACTAGAAAGGGGGAGGGGTTGTCCCCACCATATTAGGGTTGCCCCCACTAGAAGGGGGAAGAGGGCAACTCCCACCATATTAGGGTTGTCCCCTCTAAAAGGGGAGAGGGGTTGCCCCCCCCCAATAATAGGGTTGTCCCCACTAGAAAGAGGGAGGGGTTGTCCCCACCATATTAGTGTTGTCCCCACTAGAAAAGAGGAAGACCACCATCCATATTAGGGTTGCCCTTACTTAAAGGGAGGGGGAGAGGTGTCCCCACCATATTAGGGTTGCCCTCACCAACAAAATCCTTAACTCTTGCATGTGATCAATCACTCATTCTAATGGGGAATTGATCACAGAATTTACAGAATTTTGGTTGACCACAATGCGTTAAAAAGTACAATTGTTTTTTATACTGAATTTATTTATTCTCAATTTTTCCTAATTTTAGCATTTACCAACATAGGAAATTTTAATTATAATATAATAAAAATGTTTGACGAAAATGAAGTAACTGCTGAACAAAATAGAATGGCTGCAAGTATATTTGTGTTCCATAAATGGATTAAAATCCGTGTAGAAATCAAAAAAGATTTGCCTAAATATTGGGAAAACCTCTTTAAATCTGAAGAAACAAAATTTTGGCTTAATGATTTATATGAGCATGTTTTTATTTTAGAGGATTTAAATCATTTTGGTGATGATAAAGCTTTAAAAGTATTAGCTGGAGTTAAGGCTTTAGCAGATGGAGAGTTAAAAATGGAATGTGGAAATTCGAAAAATAAGTTTGCTAATTTATTTTAATTTTTAGAAAAGATATACCGTATATCCTTTAATAACTACCCTGGGTAATTATTGTTTCGACCTTCCGTTGGAGGGAGTAATCAATCGAGGGAGGGTAATTATACGAGGTTTGAAAGGTGAACGTGTTTTAGTGCATCTGTTGGGGAGTAATTATTGTTTCAATCTATCGCTGGATGGGGTAATTAATGGAAGTGAGGTAGAGGTAATTATTTGAGAGAGGGCAATTAATAAGGTTATACGGTATAATAATCATAACATTATATTACCATAGGTTATTCATTTTATACTCCAAACTCCGACCAGGTCTGTATCGGAATTTTGATTTTTTCATATTCTTTGACTTTTCCATGTTCCAGTTTCTCAAATTTCAGAGTAAAATCCCCCAATTTCCTACTCCAATTCCAACATTGGAAATGCTTAGAAATAAGCCTTAATGTTATAAATGTATTTTAATAGAACAGAAGGATTTTATGGGAACCGGATCACCTTAATTTTATGCCGCCTAAAACAAATATCCGTATTCTTACAAAAATATAGATTATCAATTTTTTGTTAATAAGATTTTTCAAGGGATTTATATAAAGAATTAACACGTCATTTGGATTTGATAGGACTGGATCAACATGAAAAATTAGATAAATTATGGCGGAAAAAACACAATAAGCGAATCTTTGTAACTTGGATAAAAAAATTACTGAAGGATGAATTATTTAAAGAATTTGAGATGGTAAAAAATGTTGATCGAAAAGGGAAGAAAATTAAGGATAGTAATAATACTTATATGGAGGAACAATTAAAAGAAATTAATTATTTCTTGGATAGATTGAAAGAGGGTAATTAATTTTTAAACTTAAAGTTAGTTGATTTGATGAGGATCATAAGCAAAAATTTTTTGCCGCTTGTGATGGGAACAGTTAGAAATGAATAATAGGGACGGTCTTTCCTAGAAGAACATTTTCCGGATCTGGATTTTGGATTTCGCGTCACTCCGGAGTGAATCCGTCAATATTTTCTGGAATAATTTGATCAGAAATATTCAAGAGATCGCGAAAACTCAACAGGATCTGGTCCGGTACCGAACATTAATAGTCTAAGTTAATTTAGATAAGCCGTAGGTTAAATAATTATTTTATTGTTCTAGAGTAAGATAAAAATTCGTTATAATAATAATAGTAATTAAAAGGTAAAGTACTATAAATATTTGTTATAAAGTTTTTAAAAAATTACAAATTAACATAAAATAAATTATTAGATCTTCTTTCTCACAAAATTGACTTAGATAAGTTTGCTTCCGCGTTCAACCTCGATGAAAATAATATAAAAAATATTTTTAAAGTTTTAAAAATTAAAATTAAACCTGACGAGTTACGATTAGAAATTAAAAAAGAAAATCAGAAGAAGCAACAAAATGAGAAAAACGAAATAATTCAAGAAGAAAATAAAGAAGATGCTGATTTAAAAAATAAAGAAATTCCAGTAGAGTTAAATAAATCTAATGAAAATTTGAAAGACAAAAATAACGCTGAAATTAATTCAAGTAAAGAAATAAAATTAGAAGAAAATAATTCAAAAAATAAGAAAAAATCTAAGAAGAAAAAAGCAAAAAATGCGGGAGTGAAGGAAAATGTTGTTGAAGAAATAAAAGAAGATAAAAATATAGTTAATATTGAAGGGGAGGAAGTGGGGAATAAAAATGAGGAAAATAATAAGGAAGAAGATAATAAGGTAAAAATAGAACATCAAGAAGATAAGAGGACACAAATGAATAATGAAGAGAAAACCATTGAAGAAAAAGAAGAGAATACTGAAGGAAATAATGAAGGGAAGAAACATGAGGAAGAAAAGAAGATTGAATTGAACAAGGAAGAGAAGAAGAAAAACGTAGAGGAAATGAGGATTGAAGGAAGCAATGAGGGGAAGAAAAAAGAAGAAGAAGAAAGGAAGAGGGATAGGAATAATGAAATTAATAGGGATGAAGAAAAAGGCGGAAAGAAGATTGAATTGAATAAGGAAGAGAAGAAGAAAAATATAGAGGTGGTAATGAGGATTGAAGGAAATAATGAGGGGAATAAAAAGGAAGAAAAAGAAAATGTACGGAAGATTGATCGAAATAATGAAGTTAAGAAGGATGAAGAAGAAAAGAATATTGAATTGAATACGGAGGGGAAGAAGACCGATCAAGAAAAGGAAGGGAGGGTTCAAGGAGTTAATGAAGAGAAGAAGGTTGCAAAAAATGATGAGAAGGGTGAAGTGAATAATGAAGCTAACTCTGTCAAGAATAATGTTAAAGATAAGAAAACCAGGCGAAAAAATAAATCTAGGAAGGCAAAGTCTAATCCTAAAAAGACTGTGGTTAAGGATAAAGAACTTCTGATTAATGCAGAAGATAAAACAAAAGAAACGTCAGTAGGAATCTCTTTATTAAGGAAACCCCTAGGTTTACTTAATTTCATTTTCACCTAAGTATCTCTCATTTTCACCTAAGTATCTCTCATTTTCACCTAAGTATCTCTCATTTTCACCTAAGTATCTCTCATTTTCACCTAAGTATCTCTCATTTTCACCTAAGTATCTCTCATTTTCACCTAAGTATCTCTCATTTTCACCTAAGTATCTCTCATTTTCACCTAAGTATCTCTCATTTTCACCTAAGTATCTCTCATTTTCACCTAAGTATCTCTCATTTTCACCTAAGTATCTCTCATTTTCACCTAAGTATCTCTCATTTTCACCTAAGAGTGAAAATGAGAAAGGTTTTACAGTGAGGTTATACGTGAAGTCCACTAATCAAAATATCATTGTTTGAAAAATACCTATTAACAATTTGGAGAATGTCAAAAATATAGCAACCATACAAAATTGAATCATATTTCATTCGAAAGAGCTCGACGAGCTGAGTCGAATGGCATATGATCCAAGTATTTTCGTTAGCCATCTTCTTGACTTTTACCAACAATTTAAATATTAATTAATAATTACAAATATTTATAGCAAGGGAATTAGCGATTCAAGAAATCAAGAAGAAGATTATTGTTTATTGCCTGACAGTGATGAAGATAGTCTTGGATTTACCAATTCTAATATTAAAATTATAGAAAATAGTTTGCCAAATATTCAAACAGAATTATTGGGTGATACAAATAAAGAGTTGAATTTAGTTAAGAATGAAGGTGATTTTTAATTGAAATTATTATTTAATTGTTATTAATTATTTTATTTTCAACCAGATTTAGTAAAAATTAAAGATTTAAAAAAACAATTGAAGAAAAATAAAGATGACAAATTAAAATTTACTAAAAAACACAAATTAAGTGCTAATCAAGAGATTATGAAGTATAAAAATAAGGTAAAATTCTGGGCTTGACATCAGAGAATATTATGAGTTAATTTGAGATATGTTTTTTAAAATTTGCTTGGCAAAGGGGAGACTAACAGTCAATGCCTTAAATTTGGATTTATTATCTAATAAGCAAAGTTGTCTGTTTCACCGGATTCTTCTGTTAACCGAACCCGTCCCGAAAATTTTCGGATTTTTTGGTTCGTTTGAAACCGACAACCCTAATAATAAATATTATATACAATTTCTTATAATGATATTCCACTTAATAATAATCTTACAGAAAAGTATTTGTTGCTTAAATGAAATAAATAAATTAATTCAAAAAATTGAAAGTATAATTTCGTTAAATAATAAATTGGAAGAATTTAATAAATTAAAATTTGAATGGGAAAATATTAAAAATAACAAGTTCAATAGTTTTAATTGCAATTTATTTAAAGCAAAATTAGAAAAATATAAAAATTCAAAATTAAAAGTAAAATTTGAAAATGAACGAAAATTTTTGGTAAATTATCATAATAATTAAAAATATAGTAGTAATTACTTAAAATTATGAGCGAGAAGTGTGTAATAAATTATCGAGATTTATCTATTGTATTTCATTTCGTGAAATAATATTTATTATCCAATCACCAATCACTATTAATTGGACATCCTAGGAAATAATAACATATTCTCCTCACATTACTTTCTATTCTGTAGAATCTACAGCAAGACTTGAGCAAAGTTTTGACCTAAAAAATGCAAATTAATATCGGCAATCTTTTTACTAATTATTTTTAATTCTTAGATTGAAGCCGTACTTCAATTAATACCATCAGATAATAGTAAAATATATCCACTAGAGGAAACAATCTTATCATTTAAATCAATCATTTATGAATGGGTAATAATTATTTTAAATAAAAATTACATTCTTTTTAATCCAAAAAATAATTTCAGCGTCCAGAATCTCTTATACTTATTTCTGGTTCGTATATATTCAAATCTCTCACGCCTGAATCGGATATTGATATGATTGTATTATTGCCGAATTATGAGAAAATTAATGACATTAATCTGCAATATACAAATAATTTGGTTTTTAATGAAGATAAAAATTCGTTATATAATATAATTAGAAGGGTAATTATTTAATTAATATATGTATAAATGAACCCGATACCCAAAATTACTATCATCAATTTAGTAAGGTTCGATACAATTTAGTAAGGTTCGAAATTCTATTGTTTACTTGATGCTGTGACCTGCCATAACACACTATAAGATTGGCAATACCTGAGAATTCTTCGGAAATCCAGATTCTAAAACGTTTTGCGAAACAAAAATTTACTTATATCCGTAACAGACATCGTGTGTTCCGGAACAGACACCGTGTGTGTGTGTGTTTGTAAGTTACCTCCCACTTCACGATAAAGATATGAAGCCTTAAGATTATCTAGGAATAACTTAGACTGTATACGAAAATAAAATATTATTTTTAAATTTAAAGATAAAAGGTGTTTCATCATTATTTAAAGTTGGAGGTCGAGTACCTTTATTAAAGCTTAAATATTATGGTTATGATTTTGACTTGCTTTTTGTTGGAGTTCCATGTCTCCAAACAAATAAAAATTCTCTGTTTTTAGAGAAAAAATATAAGGAAAAGTTAAATTTAGAAGACACCGATAAACTTATTAATCAAATTATTTTTAATCTTCAAACAAAACCGATCGAAGATATTCGTTCAGTTATACTACCTCTTTCCGGTCTGATTAATTAACGCATAAAAGAACAATTTTTTATTTAAAGGTTATCGTTCCAATCTTTATATTGCCAAATTAATGGAAGAAAATTTTGAAAATTTTAAAACGCTTCTTCTTGTTCTTAAAATATGGGCTAAAAGTTTGTAGTTTTTTGCGTTAAAAATTTTTATTTATAAATTTAAGAACATTTTATATATAGTGGACAATTAGGCTTTTTCAATGGAACAAATTTATCAGTAATGGCTTGCAAAACAATTTTGTTAAATAAAGGAAATATCCATCAATCTATTGTCCATCTATTAGAACAATTTTATATAACATTTACAGAATGGTTAGATAAGAGATTTTATTGAATGAGAGCTAAATTTGTAGAAAGGATGTTCCATTTATCCAAAATCCTATACCCTAACTCCAATTGTTCAATCCGAAGAAATTCAATACGAAGTGGAACTTTTCGAAAATCCTATCCGAAATCCTATCCGTTTTTCCCTGCCTATGACAGCTATAATCTGAAGGCCGCTAGACTCGTTACTTCGCAATTATACCTTCCCAAATATACATAATACACTTTTACAACTTTAATTATATTTTGTCAGGAATTGGCAAAATCCGTTATTATTGGAAAGATTATTTGATCAACAACAATTAGCTCAAAAATTAATAGATATACAAAATTATCAAGATTTTATCTCAATCAAAAGCTCACTAAATTGGGATATTAATTCTGATTTGACTAAACGTCGTCAAGTATTTGGTCTTGATAATTATACTGTTTATAATCAAAATATACGACGATTGGAAGAACATGCTAAAATGATGTGGCCAATTATTACTCCAGGAAATCCCCCACAGAATGCTGGATTTAATATAAATTATTCTACTTCAAAAATTTTACTTTCAGAAATGAAAAAAGGTGTTTAATTAGATTAGAATTTAAATATTTTTTAAAATTATTTAAATAAATGAGTATGTATTTACGCAAAATTGAAGCACTTAATTAAGTAGAGATGAAGCAATTTTAGTATTCTTATCAGTAGGGCTCGGATTTGTATTGAAATATATTTTTTTTACTGAATATATTATGGCGAGAGAAGCTCAAATATGCCATTAGTTTTTTTATATAATGATTTTGAACGAAGTTACATTTCAATATATTTCAATATTTTGCCAATTTTCCAGTTATTTCAATATTTGGCACACTTTTTAAATTATTTCAATATTTTTGGATATTCTTACCAAAATTTAGGGATTTTTCATAAATTTTAGGAAAAAAGTGAAGAAATCTGGCCGCCTGACAACCAAAAATCTCAAAATTTTTGCCTGCGGCGCTAAAAATGAAAAAATTTGGCTTCTTGGTCTTCCAAAATTCTCAGAATTTTCGCCTGCGGCGCTGAAAAGGGGATATTATGGCCTATTATTCACTACAGTGCCGTTGCCTCTTCCCACTAATTATCCCCTAGACATTCTTCGTAACCGCACAAAAAATTCTCAATTAACAAAAACCTCAAAATTTGTTGGGCAAAACCTCAAAAATGGCACATCGAGCAAAACCCACTAAATGTCCCAACCTCATTTTGTCAATCGCAATATAGTCAAGAGCGTAAAGTTACTCAATTCGTCGGGCTATAAACCTAATGTGAAATTTTAAAAACGTGATTCATTTTTTTGTTAAATTTCAACTATTTTGGGGGGTTTTCTAGTGAATAAACGATAATTTATTTCAATATTTCACTAATTTTTGGCATTTTTTGTCAATATTTTGCCTACTTATTTCAATATTTTATGGCCATATTTTGCGATTTTATTTCAATATAAATCCGAGCCCTACTTATCAGTGTTGCCGCGGGTACAAAAAATCTTCGGGTACGGGTTTCGGGTTGGAATATTTTCTTGACGGGTTTCGGGCGGTAACACTGTTATGTATTTAAAAATGAAGTTTCTAGTGTTATTTGAATTAAAGAAGAAAGATAGAAATAGAAAGGGCACCTTTTCGTCATTACTATGATTTTCGTATGGTTTATTAATTATTTAAGAGTTGATCCACCGTCCTATAAATCAAGCTTCTCCATCATTAAAATATGTTCAAAGTGTCATAAAATATTACACTAACAAAACGAAAAAAAGTAGGCAAGACAAAATTATTATAAAAAATACATGGATAAACTGGCTAGATGGAGGTCCTTTTGAGGAAAAGGTTTTTTTAAGTTTAAACTTTCCTATTTTATTTTTCAAGTATGAACAATTTATGGCAATTACTTCAATCAATTTAAATCCAAATAATTCGAATAATCAAATTTTTGAAGAGTTTAACAATTTTGTAGAAACCCGAATTAGATTAGGACTTGTATTTAATATTGAAAATATTTCTGAAATTGATT